AATCATTTGGATTTTGCTGGGGGTGGCTCGTGCAAACAGCCAAGATTTGCAAACGGTTTCCGAGATCGCGAGCTATCGCGGACAATGTGCCTTCCAAATGCTGACGCGCACTGACGCGCGCGCACCAGTTTTTGCAACATCCACCATCGATATGACATGCCGCCGCTCAGGTGGGTCCCGAAAGACCACGTATTGCTGCGGATGTAAGCGACACATACATACGTAAACTAAATCACATATCTGGGGCAAAGGGATTTCAGCCGATGTGCCATCAGAAAGGACCTTTCAATGTTCAGGGTCCCTTGAGAGATCCTTATGATGAGGGACCCAGTCATGGAGGAGGCCTGATGGGCGATCATGGCGTGCTCTTGATTTCTGCTTAAACACTTCTGCTAGGGTTTGCAGAACAAGGTTTGTTGATCTTCCCTTCAAACTCATTGCATGGGTGGAGCGAGAGAGCCATGCAGACACATAAACTGTAGCACGAACCGCAAGTACTTACGCTTTAAAGCCTGAGCAGTTCGCACAAGGCCTCCACGCCGTGACCCAGCGTGTGGGCGTACCTAGCTGCACAGGCTGTGAAAGTGCCGCTGTGTTTGCAGCATCGCCCAATAAGTTCTGAACCTCGCAGACTTCGCATAAGTCCTAGCTGCCTTAGCTGCTGTTCGAGTACGAGCAGCCTGAGGTGGCTGGTATTCAAGCTTGACCCTAGATCCGGGGTTTCACCATCTGCGTCCTCTCATCCAACGTAAGCGGGCCGTGCCTGCATTGAATCCCCTTCGAACTAAGCAATAAAACTTGATGACATGACAAATGGCCCATTGCAACTTGGCCAAGTTGCTCAAACAGCAACGCCCGATACTTCTCGAAGGGATCAGAATAGGCCAGGAACATGGCCTTTGCAGCGATAATCTCGGTGTTGATGACCTGGGTGGATCCTAAACAGCTTCATGGATCTTAAGTCTCTTCAATCATGGTAACACAAGAACTACGTGGCACTCAGGACCCCAACTAGGGGTTGACCCTTTAGGTGGTCCTCAAGATGGGTAGCAGGATGATACAATGATCCACCCGCGCCCACTCGAGCTGGAACTACAGCATTTTGAGTCTCACAACAGGTTCAACTCAACTTACATCCTGAGCCTACAGCCCTAATACTAAACTTTAATCTTCACCAACTGGGTTGCTGTTAAGGAA